CTCTCCCCCCCCCCCACACACACCCTCCCCCTCTCACACACCCTCCCCCTCTCACACACACACACTCTCCCTCCTCTCTCCACCACCCCCGCACACACACACACTCTCTCCCTCTCTCTCTCACCCGCCTCACACACACACGTACACATACACTAAATCTATTGAGTGAATTTGTATTTGCAGATACATTCCATTTTGTTCAAAAAGCACATAATTTGTAGACAGTCAGTCAATGTAGTGTTTTATGACTTCATACTTCAGGAATAAAACTAGTCTGACTCCAAACTGAAACATAAACACATTCTAATCAAGATCTCACATCTAACATGCACTGTCTGATGTAAAATGTCACCCTTGTTTACACTGATAAAACCTTTAGTTCTCTCCGGACCATGATTAAAGATTTAACAGCATCTTAGGTTTCTTTAGTACATCCTCAATGTTGTGAACCTTTGATTTTTTACTTACAAATTCTGTCTGATACTACCTCTCTCACTAACATCCGAAGGAGGACTGAGGCTCCAAAAGCTCGTGTTTTGAAATAAACCTGTTGGACTATAACTTGGTGTCATGTGATTTCTGACCTTGTCCACCCCAGTCCAACACCGGCACTTTCACATCATGCATATTATTTGAAGTTGGATTTCTTGGTAGCTGTAAAGGCTCCATGATGTCTGGGTTAAGTTGTTGTCTTCGGTCCCGTTCACTGTTCTTTTAGAGTTGCGGTGCGAATTGGATTTTCTAACTGAACGATGGTTCCAGGCAGCTGTCCCTGTGACTATGTATTTCCCCAGAGCGTCGACTAGCTGTTGTTTTCTTTAATTTTAAAAGTTCTGTCACAACTCCAAGGTTTTGTTAGAAGTCCAGGGTTTTCGGTACAGTATTTAAAATGATAGGGATGCTACAATGCTGAGGCTGCTTGATTATGGACCACATAGAGAAGCAAATAGAGAGAGCATGAGAGTGGGGAGCGAGAGCGAGCAGAGACAGAAAGAGAGAGAGAGAGAGACAGACAGACAGAGAGGGGACAGCAAGAGACCAAGACAGTGACAGAGCCCCATTCCCAAAAATGCAGCTCCAGCCGCCGGTCACTCGCCCCAGAGGAAGAATCTGCGGGAAGAATCTGGCCGTGCACCCTCTGCCCCAGAATGTGACATCACACACAGGTGCCTCACCCCAGAATGTGATTCCAATCGTGGGCCCACTGCCCCAAAAATGTGACTCTGACCGCAGGCCCCTCGGCCCAGAATGTGACATTGCACACAGGCCCCTCATCCCGGAAGTCGACAGTGCACTTGGGCCCCTCGCCTCAGAATGTAACACCTGCTGCGGGCCATTCATCTGAGTTCACTCCACCTTGGATCCAAGGTCTGATCCTCCTCCACCACGACATACTCCCCAACTGCTCAAACTCTGGCCAGTCAGACCACACTTTCAACAGCTGACCACTTACCACTTGCCCCTTCCCCCAGATTGCAACACCGACACGGGCTGCTTGGCCCAGTATGCAATATCGACTGCAGACCCCTTAGATAGATTGATGCTCAGAGTGGGCCAGTCTGACCAGAATGCAATGCCAAACGTGGGCCCTTCATCCCACAATGAGACATCTACCACAGGCCCCTCACTTCAGCGTGCTTGAATGCGACACTGACTATAGGCCCCTTTCACTATACTGCAAAACAGCTAAGATGGCTCAAATTCTGCCCACCCTCCCCAGACTGCTCAACTGCATGTAATCTCTTCAGACTTTTCAACTAGAGGCAGAGTCAGAGAACACAGAAACCAGTTCATGCCAACTATAGTTCCAATGAAATTAGTCCCACCTGCCTGCACTTGGCCCATAGCCCTCCAAACAGTTCTTATTCACGTAGTTAACTAAATGTCTTGTAGACGTCGTAACTCTTCTGCATCTACCACTTTCCCTGCAAGTTCATTCCACACACTAACCACTCTGTGCAAATAAACTGCCCCTCGTGCATTTTTCAAATCTTCCATCTCTCAGCTTAAAAATAAGCCCCCAGTCGTGAAATCCCCCACCTAGAGAAAAGACACCTACCATTCACCTTATCTGTATGTCTCATTATTTTATAAACCTCTATAAAATCAACTCTCAACCTCCTGCATTCCAGTGAAAGAAGTCCCAGCCTGTCCAACCCCTCCTTATAACTCAAATCCTTCATTCCTGGAAACATCCTGACCAATCTCTTCTGAACCCTCTCCAACCTAATAAATAATATCCTTCCTATAACAGGGCAATCAGAACTGGACACAAAATTCCAGAAAAGACCTCACCAGTGTAATGACTACGGACTACTCTTTCCAGAATAACTGAAGGCAAAGCTACTGCTGGCAAGTCACCTAGAATGCGAGGAAGCGAATCCAACAGCAGGCCCCTCACTCCAGAAAGCTCCACTGCATGTCGCTCTTCCCAGACTGACCGAATGTGACACCAACTTCGGGCCACTGTTCCCATACTGCTCTGCCAGCAACTTGGCCCATGAACGCAACCCCAACTGCAGGTTTCCTCACCAGTCAATGTGATATATAGAACGTGACATCAACAGTGGGCCATTCTAATCAGAATGCGATGCTGACCATGGGGCTCCTTGGATCAGAATGCTAAGCCAACTATGGGTCCCACCCTACAAAAAGCAACGGCGACGACAGGCCACTCTCCCAAGACTGCTTGGCCATGGACCACTCTCCCCAGAACGTGATGCAAACCACTGCCCCCTCATCCCACAAATACAACACCAACAGCAGGCCCCTCATCCAGAATGTAACACTGACAGGGCACTCCCCGCCAGGGTATCCAGCACCAACCTCAGTCCAGTCTCCCCAGACTGCTTAACCATGGACAACTATCCCAAAACGGCTCAACCACAGGCCACTGTTCCCGAACTGCTCAGCCGTGAGCCACCTTCCCAGACCGCTCAACTGATATGCCCATGAACGCAACGCTGGCTACAAGCCACAGTTCCCATACTGGTCAACACAGGCCACCAACCCCAGACTGTCTGACTCTGTGTCAGCCTCCCAAGAGTGCTCAACTGAGGGCCACTCTTTGCAGAATGCTCAGATTTGACACCAACCACAAACCCTTCACCCCAGAAAGCAATATGACTCTCAGGCCCCTTGCACAAGAAAGCTTTGCCAACCAGTAGCTCCACCCCCCAGAAAGCAATGCCAATACCAAGCCTCTTGACCCATGAATGTAAAATCTGAAAGGACTGCAGATGCTGTAAATCAGGAACAAAAACAGAAGTTGCTGGAAAAGCTCAACAGGTCTGGCAGCACCTGTGGAGAAAAAAATCAGAGTTAATGTTTCAGGTCCGGCGACCCTTCCTCAGTTCTGCTGAGACCTGCTGAGCTATTCCAGCAACTTCTGTTTTTGCCCATGAAAACAATGCTGACTGTGAACCCCTCACCCCAGAAAGCAATGCAACTCTCAGGCCATTGCCCAAAACAACTCTGTGAACTATGGTTTATTCTCCCCAGAACTGGCCACTCTCCCCACACTACAGCACCAACTGGGGGTGCCTCCCCCAAAATGCGACATAGAAGGCAGGCCATCCTCTCCAAAAAGCATAACTGGAACATTGAATTTGGGCCACTCATGTGCGATACCAAATGTGAGCCATTCATCCAAGACTCACTCTCACCAAGCTGCGCAAATGCAACAGTTGTTGATTGTAATGCCCACTATTTTTTGATAAAAAAGGCTGCCAATCTTGGACTAACCATGATCAAACTGAATGTTAGAACAGGTTCAGGAAGGTAAATGATATTATTTCTCACTGGAAACCAGCCTATTTTACATGGAAAGTATGAGCGAGAATGATTTGTTCATTTGCAATTGGTCTTGGATTACCAGATAGTCTCTTCCCTAACATGTCTTCCTCAAAATGTTAGAACAATTTGCAATCGATTATTTATTCAAGAGATATTATTGCTATGATCTTCAGGTCAGTGATTATTTAACTAAGTACTGAACAGTACAGGTGCCCTCTAACATAAAGCATGTAAGATTAGTGTTTACATAAATGATCGATGACACTGAACAAGATTTTAACTACAATAAAGTTGTAAATGTTTTTATGACCTCAAGAAACAAGAACATTTAAGAAGAAGTACAAGACCAAATTACTCCGAAGGAATTGATCCAAAATACCAAGATCGTGTTTGACCACAGCTGCCAGATGTAGCCACAGACGTTTAATCACCAGAAAAATAATAAAATATTTAGCCAAACCTGAGTATCCGTGGTGTTGTTTCTCACTACTTCATCCAAAGCTGTAACTTTAACAAACAATTTTTCTATGACGTCTTCTACATCTCTAATCGACTGATTTTTCAACAGCTCTTCAGCCAATTCTACCAAGGAAACACACACATTATTTCACTGTTTGCCAAGTATCATAAAATATATATCAAACAATTAAATTTTGTTATATCTGAATAAAAATGAAAACAAACAACTTATACAGAATTAAATAATTTCAGGAATGCAACAAATGTACAAATATGCACTTCAGTTTAACCATCTAACGTTCGGATTTATCTTTCAAGCAGTACCAACTGAATCAAATACTATGGTGAATTTGACTACGGTATTTCCTTTGCCAATCCAGCGCCAACAAGCTAATAGACTAATTGGAGGTAAGAAGAGAGACTGCGTAAAGGCTTTTGTAGTGGTACAGTCCCTTTCTCTGAGTCAGGAGACCTGGGTTCAAGTCCCACCTGGCCAAGAATTGTGCAATAACATGTTGGTTAGAAAACATTTAGAGACTGGGTAGTGTTGAACTGAACTGTCAGGTTCCAATTAATTAGCACATAATTTTTCTTCCATGTGCTGAACTTTCATTTATTGCAGGTCTTATATTTGGAGCACATTACAAAGCACACAACGTGCTACACAATCCTGAAGCATTTTCAAGTTTAGTCATACAAGAATCGCCATACATACAGTTCTACCATACAAAGCCTATGCTGCAGTTCAAGTCTTTTGTTGTTATGCTCTGCTCCTTAGCTCAGAGCGTCGCGCTCCCAGTTGCCTGCAGCTGTTGTGCAATGGTTCCTCATCGTTCCTCAGTCATGAAGCGGAGTTTAGCGATGACCAGCATTCCAGGCTGGAGGGTTGCTTATGGCGCTTTGCCTTTTCTTCTGGTTAAGGCTATCCTCCCACACGTCTTTAGCAGAAGAGAAGCCACTGCAGTGTCCTTGGTGCAGCTTCTTCTTTCCATGATGCTGCTGGCCCATGGTGGCTCTGTGTAATTGAAGGGTTCTCTTTTGAGGTTTCTCCTCACCGTATGTCACTTGTCTGCTGCCTTGTCCCCAAGTGATTCTGCATTCTCAGGTGTAGATGAGTTAGTTTATCACTCTCCAGAGTGTCTTCCTTTCATTTTCTGCAAGTCTTGCCCTCCTTCTCACTGGCCCTTTTCTCACTTGCTGTACTGGAAGGTGACGCCTTACTGTCCTTCTAGGGTCCATTGTTTGTGTTGCCACTTCTGATAATTTATGCAGATGTGACACCCTGTCTTGGGCAGGCCTTGTAGAGGTGGGCCTGCTTCCCCACCAGGTTGCAGCTCTTGCAGTCCTTGGTCAGGTGCCCTTCCTGTTTACAATTCCTGTACAGGGTAAGTCTGCAGTCCACTGCTGCAGGTTCAGCATACGTACATCAGGTAGCCTCAGCTCCCTCTGATTGCAAAGCTGGAGAATGTTCTCAGTGAAATCACCTTCACGTCACCTTGACCTACCTTTTGCTAGTTCAGATTCCGAAGGGGTTCTCTACATATGTGGGACATGGGATTGAATATGTGGATTATAACAATCCAGATCCTCTGCACTTTCGCTGACGAACAATTCTGCCAAAGGCAAGATAGAGAGGGGGTCCTGACCTTCTTTCAACTCAAACATATTCAGGAGATATTCACATTGCCTCACACTCTGGAAAACTGCATTGAAATATCTGCTGCTTGGAACCTGCAGCAATCCAGAAGGATCCTCTTCACAAAGAAGATCCAATCAACTGGCATACCTTCCTCACTGTCACCCTGACTGTATTCCAGACATCCTGGCCTGGAGCATGACCAACTGGAGTGGTCATAGCTGTGGTTAGCTCGACACTGATTTGGCATTAGGCCAAAACCAGCATTAAGATCCACCAATACAGATCAGCTCAACTGACGATCCTCCAATGTCCAATCACGATCCAGTGATGATCTACAGATCCTCTGATGACTTAAAACTTGGAGTTTACAGTAGAACATAGAATCCCTAAGTGTGGAAACAGGTCCTTTGGCCCAACAAGTCCACACCGACCCTCAGAGCATCCCACCCAGACCTATCCCTTTATAACCCACCTAAGCTACACATCCCTGAACTACGGGCAATTTAGCATGGCCAATCTGCCTAACCTGCACATCTTTGGACTGTGGGAGGAAACTGAAGCACCCAGAGGAAACCCACGCAAACACGGGGAGAATGTGCAAACTCCACACAGAAAGTCACCCGGGGGTGGAACTGAACCCGGGTCCCTGGCACTGTGAGGCAGCAGTGCTAACTACTGAGCCACCATGCCACCCCTACTGTGGGTAACTCTTTCCAGACGGCTTCACTGTGACAATGGCTTACAGGCCACTCTCTCCAGACTTTTTAAATTTCAAAAATAGAAATGATTTTTATGATTAAAATACCAGTACAAAGTGTTTTAGATCAGTTCTGTACAGTCCTTGTAGAGAAACAAATACGAACAAAACATTGATATTTTGGCACTTTCCATAGCTTCTGTACAGTTGCAAAAGAAAGGCATTTCCTACTTATGCAGTAACTATATGTTCTTATAAAAGTGCATGCTCAAATTTTTGATAAGCATTATCACAGGAGATCCACTGATAAATGCGCAGATATAAACACTTCCTACTCTACACACCTTGATTTTAGATCATTTGACTCATCCATGATCGTTCTTCATACTTGCTCAAACACCAAATTAAAATCAAATAAGACCTACCCATTTGCAAATTCACAAAGTTAAATTTACCATAGATACAATATTTTCCCACTGGGCCACTCTTCTAAAAAGAAAATAACACTGCGCTCAGGTGCCATTCAGTCAATAGTCTTAATAGATGAAAATACATATTCAGAATGCTTTTAGACATAATAAATATTGTACCTTTTATCTCTGTGAAGATCAAACTTATATCCATTTCTTTCTAAAAATTAAAATATATATGATTAATTCATTGTAACATTTTCAGTTCACTGAAATATTTGCAAAATATTAATCTCAATCAGGAACACTGAACTGGAAAAAACAAAAAATAGCCATGTCAGCTCATCTGAGTGTGCAAGCTCCCAGCCAATTAGTAATGGGCAATAAACGCAATTCATAGCCAGCGAGACTCACATTCCACAAATAAACAAAAATGAAAATTGCTGATGCCAGATGGATCACAATTTTTTTTGTAAATTATCACAAAGTCAACATGATAACGAAGATGGATTTCATGTTTGGAGAACAAGTACATTTTGTTTCAAAAATTGGAAATGTTAAAGCAATATTGACGAATTCCACTCACAGATACTGTCAAAGAAACTTCAGCTTTTGAAAGCCCAAATGTAATTTAATCAATGCAATGTCATTCTGTTTGGAATGAAAAAGCATCAAAAAAAAATTTTTTCCATGATTAACCAACCTGACCAAAGGCAATTGCCAAATCAAAAGTAACTTATTTGGAGAACTCTGCAGGACAAGGCCATGAAGCACTTAGAAAAACAATAAGAAGGGTTATCTTGGGGAGTTATGATGTTTTCAAGAATAGATGAGAAATTTGTGGTATATTGGCATTGTTATGAAGCAGAGGTTGACCCCCTCTCTGAGAACTAAAACCAAAACACCCATTGAGGAACATCTCACCCTATAATCTGTAAAAGGAATGTGAAAAGTGGTGTAACTTGCTTTTCAGCAACTTCTAGTGGTTAAATAAAATAAATCCTGGACACTTACTTTACAATCAACAAGTAACAATTTATTTATCTAACTCTAACAGTTAACAAATTAACTAAACTATTAACAAACTGAATAAATCCCTTCTAACTACTAACTATTCACCAATAAAGCAAGATTCTAATGGCATCCTGCTCCAATAAATACAAGTCCCACTTACATAAAAAAAATAGAATTTACTCTTTCAAAATTACAGCCAGGTTACATGTCTTCCAGAATGTTCTGTGCCTTCTCTGTCAATTCCTCTGTCAGGAATGCCTGCTCCATCAATTTTGCTGTCAGGAATACTAACTAGTTGTACCCTTGGTACTGCTGTTATTTAGATGGTGTTTTCTCTAAGACACAGGAGGCCGTGAGAGCCAGTGATTCTCTTGAGAGCTGAGGGCCGTTAGCTCTGTGATGGCAGCTAGTTCTGGGGACTTTGTCCAACTGTCCCCTTCTTTTATACTCTTAATGACATATCAATATTTCTTACAATAGGATTGGTCCTAATGCTGTCAAAATCAGACTTAAATTTAAAAGGGTTTTGGTATCTAAGTGCCTGGTTCAGATTGATTGGCTAAATTCAAAAGCCTGTTGTCTTGGTAAAAAAAAAACTGCTGCTTGGCCTGCTAACTGTACCGCCTTTCGATATAAATGTTTCAATCATGTGCTCTCGGAAACTTTTAAGCTGCTTCTCACAGACATTGATTTTAAATCTCTAAGAAGAAAAAAAGCATGACCTTTTAAAGGGATCACAGAATGCTTTCGCCCCTAGCATTTTACAAACACCAAGTTCTAATTTCCTGCCTCCCAATCCACAAGTACTTTAACCAACTTCGCAACAGCATTGCATGGATTTTATCAAGGGTTTATTACAAATTACAGCACTGTGGTGGATCCTTTGACACGTTTGTTAAGAAAGGGCAAGAAATTCAAATGGACAATGATATGCTAGAGTAACTGACAGCTTGAAAGCTGGACTGATTACCATATTGATTTGATCAGAGCCAAATTAGCCAATATATTTTAACAGGCCAGAAACAGAAATTGCTAGAAAAGCACAGCAGGTCTGGCAGCATCTGTGGAGAGAAATCAGAGTTAACGGTTCAGGTCGAGTGTCCCTTCCTCAGTTGACACCGTCTCCCAGCCTGGCAAGACTTAGCTACCAGAGTGACATGCATTCCGAGGTTTCAGTAAATGGTATCATTTGGAGGTACAAAGCAGGGAGTACATAGCCTCTCTGCTCCTATGATGCTGCTTGGAGTTTCAGGTGCAGCTAGAATGTGACTTGATTTCTGAACAAAAACTGTAGGGATTAGCCACAGTTGCCCGTAGACAGTTGACTTACTCCTAGGGAAATGATTTGGAAGGAGACGGAGCAACCACAGGAGAGGCTGCAGGAGATTTTTCTCCTTCATTTGCAGTGGCCCAAACAATGGTTAAATAAAGTGCACAAGAGGTTGAATTGGCACCACAAACACATATTTCGTTGTGACCTGAAACTTGGAAGAATTGGACAATCATTAGAAAGGATGCAAACAGAAGTCAAAGCCAAGGTAGTTCCAGAATGCTACTGGATGAAAATGGGATTCTGACGAGGAAGTGGAGACCTCCTTACAGATCAATGGAGAAAGTGTGGACAGCGGTTCGCCAGATAGAAATAATGGCCAAAAATGGTCAAGAAACATCTTGAATGCTCATAAATTCCTACAGTGGGACATGTCAGGGTCCAGACAATCAGGTCCACAAAAGTCAACATTTTTACCAGGCAGGTCTTCAGAAGAACTTGGTAGTTTTGTAAAAAACAGGTTGTAAGAAAGTCACAACTTGCACTTTTACTTATCTTACCGGTCTGCACAGCGTTGATGAATTGCGTGGGACCCTTAACACAAAAGCAGGCAATCAATACAAGCTTAATATTACAGACATGGTTACATAATTCCCAGAGGTCATACCCTCAAAACTGAGACTGTGTACTGGCAAGTTCACTTAATACTAACAGCCAAAAAGATATTTGTCTTTCTTACACCAGATGGACTTTTCCTATACTAAGTGATGCCATTCAGGCTAAAGAAAATGCAGCTATGGATTGATTTGGTATCCAGTCTTTAGAACTGCAGTACTTTCATAGAATTATTTGGATTTGATATGAAACATTACCACCACATCTTTCTCCACAGATGCTGTCAGGCCTAAGTTTGTCCAGCACATATTTATTTCAGATGTCAAGCATCAACAGAATGTTATGTTTTATATATAAATAGATATTATATCAACAATTTATCCCCCACTCAAAGCATTTACGAAGTGAATTAGTTTTGTCTGTAGGCAGATTGGGAAGCCATTATCATCTTTATCCTTCAAGGATTTAACAATTTAGTAGACATCCTGACTGATCCATAATATTAAACTAAAAATTGCAAACATTTCGTATCTTAAAAATACAAAACAGAATTTCTGGCAGAATCTGTGGACAGAAAACATAAGTCCAGTGACCCTTCACCAGACCTAAAGAACATCTTACATGGAAGACAAACATATAAAGGCTCTTTACTTACCCAGGTTATATTTTCTTCAGTTATACATTTATTCATATAACATGAACAAGTTCGTCACGAGTAACTACGATGTCATCACCTAGAACAAACAGTTTAAATAAAAATTAGAATTAGGACAACACAAGCATTTTAAAGCTGCAGAATGGTATTAACCAATCTAGTCATCTCGAAGTTAATGGACCAAAAATGAAACGTTTTCCACCAGAACAAGTTACTGTATCTGTGTTCGTTTATCAAATGAAAAATTACATTGCTCGCCAATGTTCAAGCTGCTTTTCTCTCAGATCCAGATGATCGATAACTACCAAGTCCCTATACCTCACTTGAGCAGAGGAAACGTTACATAGAAATTTCCCCCTATCCGAAATACCCATTTTTTCTTTCAACTATTATTGAATGATATTCCAGTCAATACCTTATATCAAGTTTGTTTCAAAAGGTCATTTAAAAAGCGTGAATTAATAAAATTAAATTACAAGTTTGTATACATGGCCTGAGATAATAGTATGTAACGATACCTCTGTGACACACTTTAGAAATGCTGAAGATATAATGAAGCTGAACTTGGCTTCGCGCTGACCTACCTGAAAAGACGCACGCACTCACACGAGCCGTCCACGGCCGCCTTTTGCCGCCTTTTAGAGTGGTTCCTTCTGCACATGCGCTCTCACCTCTGCTCGCGCGCATGGAAGGATCGAGAATGGCTTCATGTCAGTACGAAGCCACCTTCAAAATAGCACTCAGGGCTGTGGTGAGTCTCTGTTTAAGTTGTTTATCGTCTCGATCGCGACTGTAATCGAGATAGCAATATTAAAATTATAAATTCACATTTTGAATATTGTGATTTGTGTAAGTTAATCATACTCACCTTCTGACATCACAGCAAAAAGTTCACAGAGCAACGTCCCTACCCGAATATCTAGCACAACCACCCAAATCAAACTGGCCTCAAATTCAAGGCACATCGACGTAACCCAGCTTAGCATCCATTTTTATAGTCACACCATTGGGTAAGTTATTAAATAATGGAGATAACAATTCACTACTCTGTAGGCCAAAAACAGGTTGAATGTTGTGAAGATGATTTTTATTTTATTTTTCAGCATTTTTGATTGTGGACTGGAATGAGAAAAGAGTTTATTAAGGGTTACTGCATGTCTTTGAAAGAAGTAACTTGACACTTGTTGCAGATATTATTTACACAGCTACTCCATTAAGCAGAAGTATGAGATAGGAGTGTGTGCAAATGAGGATTCAACCAGAGCCAGATTCATAACAGATTACCGTTCCAGAGACCAGTGAAAAAGCCAATATTCAAGCTACCCTGAACCAATCACAGGCAGAAGGCCTTAATGTGCTTGGTTCTGGGTAGTTGAACAGCTTGAGACAGTGAACAGGATAGAGAGAGGCCATCAGATAGTTTTCTCAGTTCTCCGCAATAAAAGCCACTTTAAACAAGAAGAAAATAAGTTATTTTTTTTCCTTCAGCAGTTGCTGACTTAATGATTAATTAACTTAATTAATTAAAATCTTGATACAAGACCTTTTATAAGCACGTATCACTCGCCCTGTACCTCATGCAAATCATTGAAAGCATTTGGAGTACCACGAGAAGCAGCATCCTGATCCACAAAAGAATTACCTCAGCAACTCTGTGAGCAGTCTTACCCTCCACTCATAGACCCTTAGTTGTTTCCACTCTCTTTTTTGTGTTTTAAGAGGAATTTTATGAGTTAAAGCCCTCATTGCCCTTATAGAGTCATGCAGAAAGTTCATAATTGATAAGCTGTAGTTCAAATATATCTATTTGTAATAACCTAGCAATCCTTGTTATGTACAGAAACCTGGCCGGCTTTCTGTCGGCCCAGCTATAGAAGTCAGGTAAATTGGAGAATTCTGCATTATTTTAGGGATCTTAAGCGTTTGTGTTGATTCTGGAAGTAGCAGGGCTCGCTTTACAGTATGCTACCCCAGTGTGTGTGTCTTACCTATGTACCTTTCTTAGGAATTCCCCATTGGTCCTGCATTCCACCATGACGTCCAGAAATGGGAGCTGTTTGTTCTTCTCCTCTTCTCTGGTGGGTGTTGTTTATTAGTTCATGTGTCTCCTCCAGTTTGGTCCGTTTAGCAATGACGAAGGTGTCGACCACGTAGCATCTCCATAGTTTTGGTTGGATTAGCGGAAGGGCCATACTTTCAAGTCTCTGCATCACTGCTTCAGCTATTAGTCCGGAGATAGGTGACCCCATGAGTGTCCCGTTGATCTTTTCATATATTTGGCCGTTAAAGGTGGAGTGAGTAGTGAGGCATAGGTCCGGTAGCTTCAGCATATTGTCTGTGGAGATGGTGTCACTGGGGTCTTGTTCTTGTTTTAGTAGTGTTGCCAGTGTTTCTCTTGCTAGTGGTATGTCTATCGATCTGAATAGGGCAGTAACATCAAATGATACCATGGTCTCATCGCCATCTTTCTTATGTCCTTGATGGAATTGAGGAACTCCTGGGCTGAGTGGATTGAGTGGGGTGACTTTCTGACGAGGTGCTTTAGTGTCTTTTATAGCTCCTTGGCTAATCTATGTGATGGCATGCCTGGCAGGGAGACTATGGGTCTGAGGGATACTTCCGGTTTGTGTATCTTCGGGAGGCCGTAGAATCGGGAGGTGTTAGTTCCTTCAGGTTTCATTCTTAGGAAAGTCTGCTTTGTTGATTTGTCTGGTCTGTTTGAGTTTCTTTAGTGTGTTGAGAATCTTGTTGCCCAGTTGTGGTGTTGGATCTGTCTGCGCTGCCAGTATGTGTTCTCATCGGCTAGTAGTGTATGTGCCTTGGAGAGGTAGTCCGATTTATTTAATATTACCGTCATGCGCCCTTTGTCTGCTGTAGTATTGTGATGTTCTTGTCCTTTTTCAGCGTCAGCGGAGGCTGCACTGATGATGTTACCCAGCAGGGTAATGAAACATCTGCGGAACAACAAACCAACTTGGCGAGCCAACCAACCACATTATCCACAACCCAAGCTACAGCTCTAAAACCTTAGAGACCTACAGGCAAAGCATGCTCAAATTGGCAAGAAAATGGGAAAACTATGCCAAACAACAGAGCGCTACACCTACATGGATGCCTCAGGAACCAGGTATTACCACGCAGTGTGAGATACAAACCTCTCATCTACAACCCACAAACTCATAAAACAGCAGAACAAAGCAGCCGCAGGATGGTAAAGGTAATGATCACCGATGCACACAACCGGCTCCACAGATATGACAGAGAAATTACGCACCAAAAAACTTTATTCCTGAAAGCTACCAAACAAGACTGGACAACGGACCTAGATCGAGCCATCAACATCAGTCAACAGACCACAAGAGCCAGGTAAAGACAGACCCATCAGGAAAAACTAGCCAAACCAACACACCAAAATGACAACAACAGAGCAGATACCTGGATAAAAAATCTTTCGGATAGGAAACTGACAAACACAGAGAAAGCTGTTCTAATTCTCAGACTCAACTACAATCACAGAGATGCCAACAAACAGAATTCCTAACTACACTGGAAGCCACACTGAAGACCAACGGCATCAATGAAAAAACACAACAAGCCGTAAGACAGACAGTGATCCTGACACTGACCAGAAAAAGCGAACTCAACACTCTCAACACATCTGAAAGGAGGTACCTAAAAGGACTGAAAAAGGACAAGAACATCACAATACTACCAGCAGACAAAGGGCATGTGACAGAACTACTAAATAAACAGGACTACCTCTCCAAGGCACATACACTACTAGCTGACAAAAACACATACTGGTAAGTACAGACAGACCCGACACCACAACTGGGCAACGAGATTCTCAACACACTAAAGAGACAAATGAACTAATAAACAACACCCTCACCAGGATCAGATTCACTGGAGAAGAACAAACAGCTCCCATTCCTGGACGTCATGGTGGAACGCAGGACCAATGGGAAATTCCTAACAAAGGTACACAGGAAAGACACACACACTGACCAAGTACTGAATTTCATCAGCAACCACCCTAACACACACAAACGAAGTTGCGTGAGAACATTATTTAAATGGGCAACAACACACTGCAGCAGCACAGAACTACGCCAAAAAGAAGAGTACCTCTTCCAAGTATTCAAAGACAATGGATACCCAAAAAACTGGGTCAGAAGATGCCTATTACACAAACAACATCAGGAAGATACTACATGCCCTGACACAGTCATCACGCTACCTTACATCGGAAACACATCGGAACTGACCACAAGACTCCTATGACCACTGGGCATCAGAGTAACACACAAACCCAAATCCATCCTACGCCAACTGCTCATCCGGACCAAAGACCCACTACCCATTAAGGACTGGACCAACGTCATATACAAGATTCCCTGCAGAGACTGCGACAAACATTACATTGGACAATCAGGGAGGAAATTAACCACAAGGGTACACGAAGATCAGTTGGCAACAAAAAGACACAACCGATACTCACTCGTCTCCATCCACACGGATAAGGAAAACCACCAAGTTGATTGCGACAACACCAGGATCCTGGGACAGGTGAAGCAGAGTCAAGCACGGGAATTCCTAGAAGCCTGGTACTCCACTAAGAAAGCCATCAATAAACACATAGAGCTAGACCCCATAAACACGCCATTGCGAAGGAAACCCGGAAGTGAGGTAATCCAGCTCAACGGACACCAGAGTTTAGATGACAGGCAGGGAAACACAACAGCGCTTCATTGGAGGCTGCACTGATGATGTTACCCAGCAGGGTAATGAAACGTCTGCGGAACAACAAACCAGCTCATCGAGCCAACCAACCACATCATCCAGAAAATGGTTAAAGCCATTCAGAGCTTCATGATTGTGATATACATCCCTGTGAACAGACAAGGCATTGAGGCAGCTGAAGCAGACAGTAAGATTTTGGATAAACTGACCCGTATCCATCCGGAATTTGATATTGACATCATTCCTGGAAATGAAGCCCACCCACCTCCAGGATCCTGTGTTCCTCTCAGTTTGAGCTGTATAAAAAATACCCTCCTTGCTCTTGAAAACAGCAAGAA